GTTTTAAATTATTCTAGCATTTGGTTGAGAGTAGACTAAACAGGACATAAATAGAAGCAACTAGAGCCTGTAAGAGGTCACTGCCTTCATGCAAACAAGAAGTGGCTCGCGCCAGGACAGTAGCTGGTAGAGATAGGGGAAAGAGGCCAGATTTTGGATGCATGCTGGAGTGGAGCCGACAAGATTTCCTGATGCATAGGGTTGGGGTGGGAGGGACAGACTCCTAGGGTTTGGGGCCTGAGCATCTGGAAGAGTAATGGTGTCTCAGCTGAGACACAGAGGGCTGTGGGGGAAATTCAGGAGTTCACTTTGGGTCGTGTTAACTGTAGATGTTTATTTCCATCCAAGGAACACGTCCAGTGGGCAGTTGACATACAAGTCCAGAGTTCAGGGGAAAGGTCTGGGCCAGAGAAGCAAATATGGGAATTACAGATACACAGATGGCAGATGGATCTCGACCCTCTGCTCCCTCTTCTCTCCTCCCTCCTCTATTCCTTCCATTTCTCCCTCCAAGATTCATTCATATTTCTCCCCATTTTTTTCTTAGCAGTTCCAATCTTCTTCTCCAGACTTAAAAACCCAAACCACCGGATGTTCTGGGCGCACCAAAGGACCTACCCTGGAGTAGCATGTGCTTCCTTAGGAGGCAGGTTTGATTACAAACAGTGCTAAGTGGGTGGGGGTCACCAGCTCACACTCTGCAAAGGTAAACCACATTTTTCTCCCTGAGGAGTAGACAAGAAATAGAAAAGAACACAGGATTTATCTGTGATGCCACAACAGCCTGCTCCTCTGATTTATATCCCTACCACCAGAACCCAGGCCTGTTTTTTAGGACACTTAAGGTAACAAGGAACTCTTTTCTATTTCTCTGTGTGTCCAGAAACTGGCTAGTCCCTGAGGCAGTGAAATGGAACTGGAAAGTCTTGCAGCTGCAGTTCAATGATTGGCCAAAAGGTGACTCGTGTCCCTTCAACTCCTAACTCATTGTCCAATCACAGTCAACCACCTACAATTCTTTTGGAAACACAAGTTTGAAGTCTGCTGTTTCCATGCTTGCTCCCATGGCTCTATCTCTCCATTCAAGAGCAGGTTTCTCAAATCTATCAGCCTTTGGGACCACACATTTTGTCTTTTTGCTTGAGCCATTTAGTCCAATTCAGAAGCTCTTCATGGGGCGATCACATTGTGTTAGTACTTATTTTTGATTGTGGCAAAATACACGTAACCTAAAATTTACCATTTTAACCATTTTTAAGGATACAATTCAACGGCATTAAGTACATTCACAATGTTGTGAAACAGTCACCACCATACATTTCCAGAGCTCTTTCAACATCCTAAGCAGAAACTCTGTTCCCGTTAAACAGTAAGTCCCCTTTCCTCCTTCCCTCCAGTGGCTAACCTCCGTTCTACCTTTTGTTACTATGATTTTGCCTATTCTAGGTGCTTCATGTAAGTGGGATCATATATTTGTCCTTTTGCATCTGGCTTATTTCACTTAGCATAATATTTTCAAGTTTCATCCATGTTAGAGGATGTATCAAAATGCCATTGCTTTTTAGGGCTGAATAACATTCCATAATATTTGTACACCACATTTTGTTTATCCATTCATCCCTTGGTGGAAATTTGAGTTGTTTCTACTACCTTTTGGCTATTGTGAATAATGCTGCTATGGACGTTGATGTATGTGTGTCTGAGTCACAGCTTTTAATATTTTGGGGTATATACCTAAGAGTGGAATTGTTGTGATCATATGGTAAATTTTATGTTTAACTTTTTAAGAAACCACCAGTTTTCCACAGTGGCTGCACCATTTTATATTCCTACCAGCAATGCACAAGTGTTTCAACTTCTCCACATTTTTGCCAACACTTATTTTCTGTTTTTTATTTTGTTTTTGATGATAGACATCCTAAGCAATGTGGAGGAGTGTCTCATAGTGGTTTTGATTTGCATTTTTCTAATGACTAGTGTTGTTGGGCATCTTTTCCTGTGTTTACTGACCATGTGTATATCTCCTTTGCAAAAATGTCTTTCAAGTCCTCTGTCCATTTTTAATTGGGTTTTCTGTTAATTTGTTGTTGAATTGTAGGAGTTCTTCATATATTCTGGATATCAATCCCTTATGAGATATATGCTTTGCAAATACTTTCTCCCATTCTGTGAGTTGTCTTTTCATTCTCTTGGTAGTATCCTGTGATGTCCAAGTTTTTAATTTTGATGAAGTCCAATTTACATAGTTTTTCTTTTGTTGCCTGTACTTTTGGTGTCATATCCAAAAAAATCATTGCCAAATGCAATGTCATGAAGACTTTTACCTGAGGTTTTTTTCTCAGAATTTTATAGTTTTAGCTCTTACATATAGGCCTATATCTATTTTGAGTTCATTTGTGTATATGGTATAAAGTAAAGGTCCAACATCATTCTTTTGCGTGTGGATATCCAGTTTTCCCAGTATCATTTGTTGAAAAGACTGTCTTTTCCCCACTGAATGGCCTTGGCACCCTTGTTGAAAAATCACTCGACCATGTACATGAGGGTTTATTTCTAGGCTATCTATTCTATTCCATGGTTTATATATCTGTAATGTCAGTACCAAACTACTTTGATTATTGTAGATTTGTACGAACTTCTTAAATCAGGAAGTGTGAGTCGTCTAACTGTGTTCTTCATTTTCAAGACTGGTTATTTGGGGTCCCTTGGGATTTCATATGAATTTTAGAATGCTTTTTTCTATTTTTTCAAAAAATAGTTCTGCCATTGAGATTTTTTCTTTTTTTCGTGAGGAGGACTAGCCCTGAGCTAACATCTGATGCCGATCCTCCTCTTTTTTCTGAGGACGATGGCCCTGGGCTAACATCCATGCCCATATTCCTCTACATTATATGGGACCCTGCCACAGCATGGCTTGACAAGCGGTGCGTCGGTGAGTGCCCAGGATCTGAATGTGTGAACCCTGGGCTACCGAAGTGGAGCGCGCACCCTTACCCGCTGGGCCACCAGGCAGGCCCCCAGCCATTGAGATTTTGACAGAGATTGTATTTTTTTTTTATTGAAGTAACATTGGTTTGTAACATTGTATAAATTTCAGGCATACATCATTATACTTCTGTTTCTGCACTGATTACATCATGTTCACCACCCAAATACTAATTACAGTCCATCACCACACACATGTGCCTAATCATCCCTCTCGCCCCCCTCCCTCCCGTCCTCCCCTCTGGTAACCACCAATCCAAACACAGATTGTATTGAATCTGTAGATTGCTTTAGGTAGTATTCAGTATTTATCTTAACAATATGAAGTCTTCCAACCCATGAACATGGGATGTTTTTCCCTTTATTTATGTCTTTAATTTTTTTCAGCAATGTTTTGTACTTTTCAGTGTACAAGTCTTTCCTCTCCATGGTTCAATTTACTCCTAAGTATTTTATACTTTTTGATGCTATTGTAAATGGAATTGTTTGCTTGATTCCCTTTCTGGATTGTTCATCACTAGTGTATAGAAATGTAACTAATTTTTACCTGTTGATTTTGTAGCCTGCAAATTTGCTTAATTTATTTATTAGCTCTAACAGGTGTGTGTGTGTGTTTATGTGTGTGTGTGTGATCTTTAGTGTTGCTACATATTAAATCATGTCTTGTGTAAACAGAGGTGGTTTTACTTCTTCCTTTCTCTTTTAAATGCCTTTTATTTATTTTTCTTGCCTGATTGCTTTTGCTAGAACTTCCAGTATTTTGTTGAATAGAAATGCTAAAAGTGAGCATCTTTTTCTTGTTCCTCATTTTCAGGGGAAAAACTTTCAGACTTTCTCCATTTCTGAGTACGATGTTAGCTGTGGGTTTTTCATATATGTCTTTATGATTTTGTAGAAGTTTCCGTCTATTCCTTGTTTATTGAGTGTTTTTATCATGAAAAAATTTGGCTTTTGTCAAATTCTTTTCTGCATCAAATAAGATGATCACGTGGCTTTTGTTTTTCATTCTGTTAATGTCATAGATTACATGGTTTGAATTTCATATGTTGAACCATTCTTGCATCCCAGGAATAAATCCTACTTGGTCTTGGTGTGAAATTTTTTAATATGCTGTTGAGTTGGTTTGCTAGTATT